AGTGTTACTGCCTGAATGAATCGTCTTGTGATATGGTTCATAAGGAGATCAGGCATGTAATGAATCACAGCAGCTAGCTGAACAGCACAACAGCCCTCATTTGTAAGTCGGAGTCTGAAATTTGTTAGTTGAACAGCAGAACAGCCCTAATTTGTAAGTCAGAGTGTTTTGGGGTTGGCGTTTTTTTTTTATTGTGTTAGCTGTAGTCTTTGGTCTCTCCAGAATTCTGGGCAGTCACGTCTTGGAAACTCTGGCGTTCGCACAATTGCTCCTAATTGCAAATAAAGGTGGGAATTTGATTTGTAGGCTGAAATGAATTTAAAAGTACACATGAAGGAGATCTTTATTCTTTCTGATTTCATAACATTAGTAAAATTATTTTAGTTTTAACATGCTTTTGATTTTTCTAAAGCGTACTCTTCCGTAAAAGATACCAGAAACAAATTTTTAATGTATCATGCTGCAAGAGGCACGAACATATCTGTGAGGAGCTTTACAAGTGAGATGCAAAAAAAAAACCGGTAGTGCCATTTGGCACCTGCACTATGGAGAATATAATACCATGGTTTTTTGAACCTGAGATTTTCCACAAGGCTTTATCTTTCCTTCCAAGTTGACGATAGTGCCCTAATAAAGTAGTTTGTCTGTTTGAGTGCATCACTTTGGTTGCCAAAAACCTGCTGTTTTCAGTGAAAGTTTTGCTGTTACTTCATGACAGTTCAACTTAATTAGCGCCTTTGTGAGAAGACTGAGTTAGTGAAGGTCGTGAGGTGTGGTAAAGGCAGCGTACCCATGTCTCAGATGCTGTAAGACCCAAACATTTTTGTGTCTTGAGCTAGAAGAATTCAGAGATGAGTCAGGTGTAGTGTCTGAGGGGGTTGTCTGAGTGAGAGAATAGGAATCTGACAGCACTTCTGCATTAGGCTTTTTTGCTTCTAATATATTTTACTAGATAGGGGGAAAAAAATTACTGGTGAACACTACAGCCCTCTTCTTCCTCATCTCCCCAAAATCTATTACTGTCTCTTGATGTCATAGCCTCACTCCTTTATCCCTTGAAACTCTACATGTTGCAGAACCACGAGTTCTGGTTGTTCTTCTGGTGAAGCTCCACTTTCTGGTGAAATTTCTGTTTCAAAAACTGTTATTTTCCAAGAGACAAGAGTTATAATGTCACAAGAGAGGAAACTGGAGTTTCTTCTTCTTCTTCGGCATAATGCTGCTGTTGGAGGCCTGAGACTATTTGTCTTTTCTAAATTGGTAAAACAGAGATCTACGATTACAAGTATTGATAATATACATGTGTTAATTATTCATAATGGGATGGGGGGTTTAGAGCACCTCCAAAGTTTTAACTCCTGTGATAGCCTTCGTTAGCGTCCTTTGAAAGACTGTATTTCAACATACAGCTCTCGATTAAAAATTCTTTGTCTGAAGGTGGTGGTCTGTGCTCAACTGTCTGGCTGAAGTAGTTCTGCAGGGTGTTAGCAAAATACCACATAGTGAGTCACAGGGTTCTATGCAATTCTAAAACACAGACTTCGTGCAATTTTCTGACTTCAGAAAGACAGCATAAACACAAAAGACTGATTTGGTAGGTACCTAGCAGTACAGACTTAGAAAAATTGAGTGTATAGGGTGCACTTAACTGTCTGTTCATGTCTGGAACATCGTATTAATATCTGAGTTCTTAGGAACCAGCTTATTTTAAGTCTTGCCAAGCTGTGTGCTTTCAGTGTGTCTTTTATGTTGCCAACTTGCTTTACCCTCACTGGGCTTCCCAGGCTGCAACACCCGAGGAAGAGACATGTTTTAAAGGGAATATAGAGCTGTCAGACAGAGTCTGAGCCTGAGGAATTACCCAAGTAATTGTGTTCAACACAGGAGGTTAATCTGTTGCTCAATCAGACTGAGGTAGAAGCGTTCTGCTGATAACTGCTGTGATAGGATGTGTGTCATAACGCACACACGCTCTTTTGTAACTGCGTTATCGCACTCTCCTGGTGTGGGAGTCAGGCAGATGAAGCCGCGATGATGTTGTAGAATGGTCCTGGGGCGGTGAGGAAATGCAGTACAGAAGGCACTGAATTCCTATGGTGACCACGTCTCTGTTCTTGGCTTTGTCCCTGGTTGTCGGTGTCACCTGCACTGCATTCATTTAGCTGTCTGTACTTTGATTTCCCGAGCCTGGTATTAACTAGATGTGACCTTTCATTGGAGCTTCATGCTAGGGCTTCCATCCGAACACTATTGCGATCCTTCAAGAAGAAAAAGAAAAAAAAAGTCCTGTGCAGCATGAAAACTTTTTCCCTCCTCTCTCAGTTTATTAGTTTTGTCAGAGCTTTTTGAAGTAGTAATTAAAGAGTCTTTTCCAAACGTATTGAACCTGAAAGGTATTACTGGCTCTGGAAGATTAACTTCCATCAGAGCTGTCATTCTCTTGTCATACACTGTATTGACCCGTTCTAGAAATGTATGTATTCACTTAAGTGAACTTGGAGACCTGGCTTCTGTCCGAGTTCTTAAAATTGCTTTAATACTTTTCTTGAGAAGGACATGGACTACTTGGAGACAAAGGAAAATTCTTTATCTCTAAGAAGACAGCAGAATGGTATTTTTTTATTTAAAATCAGTTATAAGTGAAAGCACTTCCTCGT